ATTGCATATCAATAGATAAATATTTTTCTGGATTAAACATGGATATGAAAATTTTAATAGTGTCACATCGGGGTGAATTTTGAATTTCTTCCATCCCATTTTGTGTTTTACAATCAATTATCCTATGTTCAAATTAACAAATAAATATATTGATATCCCCAATTTCTTGACTCAGCCAAACAAAACCAAACTCGAATATAATCTTGTCAAGTTAACAACAAATAACAACTTCTAGGGTATCTATGTTCTTGCATACAAATAAGATTACACCAATATTTTATCATTTTCACATGATGGTCAATACATAACGGCATCCTTTCATATTCTCCCGGTGCAACATTTATCATTTACAGAATAATTTACACCCAGAAAGTCTTTACAATATTGTTCTTGGACTAGATCAAGAATTTTGGAAATTTCACTTGAATAAATTTCAGCACCATAGGTAAGTATTGGTTTTACCATAGAGTCAAATTATTTGAAATAATCAAAGTGTAAGAACTATCGAAAACTTCATTTATATGATTTAATAGCATAAATAGATTTCCTAGCTTGTACAGCAAGTACAATGTATAGTTTTTTGCTTTTGTCCAAGATTATTAAGGTGTAGATAAAAGACCGAAATATGTGTACATTAATGTGACATTTACCGAACTGCCGTTGTAGAACCATTTTTCATATGATCTGAGCGGTCCACCATTTCTAAATACAATAATGTCAGTTTCATTCTCATTTATAGACATACCGGTATTATTACAAAATTCTGAAATTGAATTTAAGTTCGATTGTAGTATCGATGTCACATACTATACATATTAGTACCTATGTCACATTTAAAATATTCTGTTTTGGTAGTAGCTTGTACACATCCACGGAGTTTTGAGTACGTTGATAAAAGAAGACGTAAAAATTCTGTCTAACGCCAAATCTATATTTATCGTATGGAAGAATTAAAATGTTTAGGTTTTATGTTTAAAATGTTTGTTTGTGTGTTTTTTTGTTTTTTTTGTTTTTTTAGATATTCATCAAAAAACAATAAAATCGCCCATCCGGTTAACTAATACATGTATATTTCTGCACGATACTTTGTAATGTAAAAATATTATCAATTGTAGAGTAAACGGTTCTGAAACCGGCTTGGGGTTCGTCTATTTTATCAAATTTCTCAGCCGATTTATAACACTTATCATTAACGACATGTATAATATTAAAAAATATATTATACATAACATTGATTAATGAAATTCCTCTATAATTTGAAGGGTCATATTGTGGTTATAGGCAACAAACTCATTTTTACTCGTTTTTAAAATGAAAATATTTAATTCTAAAATGACTGTATATCATAAACCACGGATTTATACTATATTATATATAGTAATGTAAATCCGTGCTTAAACTCATGAGCGTTCATGTTACCATACAACTTTAAAATATGTGTATAAATATATTTCACATGTAGCTCTGTTATGGCTTCTATAGAATATTCGTTTAAAGATTATCTATTCCATTCGCTTTATTTCTTTTAAGCATAGATATTGCCTAAGTACTTCCTGTAAAGTAATATCTGAAAAAGGTTAAAATCATTTAAATCATGGACATTGTTAAAATCTTTTCCTCAGAGAACATAGTTTCAAAGTATGTTTTAAAATCGTGCAACGGTATTTCACAATGATTACTTTGTTGTTGTTTTTTTAAATACCATCAAAAATCACGTGGCTTACTCTCTCTTTGTTTTATTATTATTATTATTATTATTATTATTATTATTATTATCATCATCATCATCATCATCATCATCATCATCATCATCATCATCATCATTATTATTTTGTTGTTATTATTATTATTATTATTATTATCATCATCATCATCATCATCATCATCATCATCATCATCATCATCATCATCATCATTATTATTATTATTATTATTATTATTATCAAAGTTTTTGTTTTGTTGCCATTTAAAAGGACGACGCATTTTTAAACAACATATTTCATAATACCCGATCAGTTTGTGTGTCTGACAGATTTAAGTGTTTCAACTGTTTTGCTTCCCTACGGTCTACATCACGAGAATCATCAATTTCTGACACGTCAAACCTTGAAATGTACAACCATGTTTTTTTTTAAAAAAATGAGGAACTGCTCTGCCACTTCCCTCATAGCAATCGTGAAAATCTATTATTTACACTTTTCACAGTATTTAGGAACGGCTAAAAAAACAAGAGTTACTCCCCTTTTATCACTAACGACATTTGTAACAGAAGTAACTGTAAGTATGTTTAGTTCTCTTAGATATGCGTCAGATATGTCAAAAATAATGTATTTTTTTGTATAATTAAGTGTGCGAATTGATTGTCAATAGTTATCACACGGGACATTTTGCAAATGCTTGTAGGCCTGGATCTACCAGGGATGTTATCTGATTATATAACGCAGAGACATAGAATTCTTCCCAAGAATACATTCATTATTCACAAAATCAAATTTATTGGCAGATGAAAATGAATTTAGTGTGCCAGTTTTAAAAATATTACCATCGTTGTATGTTGCTTTTACTAGCAGTCACAGAAAATGTAAATATAATGTGATATCATAGAACCCGTGATATCATAGGAACCGATTATACAACTGCCATAAAAAAAAGAGCAGTCTGACATGTATGTTAGCGGCCAGTTGACACCCCACCGATTGATAAACATAGTATGTAATTTCTGTATTTATGTCGTTAAAAATATAGCGATGGCTTTATAAAGTCAATTTTAATATTAAACTTTAAAGGACTGTTAAACATTTAAAATCTTACACCAGCTGTCTTGTATTTTTCTTATTTACACTGTTTACTGCAGACAAAAAAAATACTCTTTTCTACAAAAATCAACAACTTAAGACAAAATGGTGTAAAGTAAGCTTGAGTGACGAAGAGATAATGTGGCTCAAATCTTCAGTTACCAGTCCCATTATATTATTTCCCAGATTGTACCAAAACTGCTGTAATAGTCACATTTGTTTATTTGTTTGGTTTTTATGCTGATTTTAACACATTTTTCGTCATAAGTCAGTGGTCAATCCACCTGACTAACTTTCCAGGATAAGTAACCAGTAATTTATTACCAATTTCTCAGCAAGTGTCAACAACAACAATACATCCATAAACACTTTCAATATGAATAATGTAAATAACCGAGGTTTATCAGTGAAAAAATATGAGTTGTTTCCCTTATCTTCGAGTAAAATTGATATCTCTTATGCTAAAACAATACAAATTGAGCCGTTTTTAAACTGCTAGTTTGTTTTGATTATTTAATGTTTGATTTTAAGATTTATTACACCAATGGAAAGCTTTGGATCTTCAGCTTGGTCATTATATGTACGTCAACACATCTTTTGACACAAAAGTATTTAAATTAAATGTTAAATCTACCATATGTCAGACCATTTTACATACAATTAATACAGTGAGATATGCAACCTGTTATCTTAACTAGAAAAACTACTGATCAGAAAAGCCTGTCATCTGCTTATTTGGAAAGTGTTTAGTTGTGTATTCCCATTTCCTGCAACAGCAGCGATGCAAATGATCATTACGATTAATAGTCATGAGGAAAATTCACCTGGCACGAGGATTGAACCAGCGACCTATTGATTACATATGACATGCAGGAACCAGTATTTGTCATTAAAATTGGTCAAACCACCAATGCAATTTAAAAGGCTGAAAGGCCCATTATGCACCAGAATGCTGTAAAGTTTATTTCTCAAAAGCTTTTTGTTTTAGGTGTCCCATTAAAGTTTTCAAAATGTTACTTATTTGCCAAGTAACAGAAACATTTTTTTGCTTCTGTTGCTTTTGTTAATTAGTATAGTTATAGTGATTTGTTATTTTGTAATGAAGTCAAAATACTACTTTGTTTCAGAGACATAGATAACAGAGATGGCCAACTTCCTAGCCAGTTAAAATATCACGCGTGCCTGCTAAACTTAAAACTTGTAGCAAGTAAAACTTATTAACCAGATATCAAAATCAGTAAAATGATACATTTTCTGAAAGCTTATGCATTTGTCTATGGCTGCAGGTAAAAATATGATACATTTTCTGAAAGCTTATGCATTTGTCTATGGCTGCTGGTAAAAATATTATCAGTTCCCATTTAAATAAATGTTACATCATTTTTTAAAGAGAACTACTATGATAATTTTTGTTACAAAACTATTCATAAGACAAAAAACTGGTTTCAGTGGGTATGTTCTGCAATGTTTTTCTAAGTGAAAGGCATGGCAAGTTACTAATATTTTAACATGCAGCAATAAATAAAAGATTTACCTTTCAAATGGTATATAATATTAAAGGATAAATCGTACATCCATTAAGTTTTATTTGCTACAAAATGCCTAATTTTTCACTTTTTGATAGGCATGAGTGATATTTCAGTGGAGTATATAGGAGCTGCTTATCTCTGTTATCTATGTCTCTGTTTGTTTACATTTTGCTACTTTTATGACAAATAATTTCACATTAAGTGTTTCTTTCATTTTGTGATAAGTTAAACATGCTCTAAAACCATTATTTAAACATTTAAAAACTCATGTTTGCCCTTTCTAAAGGTGTAAAAATTTATTCTTTTTGGAGGCATAAGTACAGAATTTGAATTAGAGGCATACATGTATATTGCTTATAAATTGAACATTATCTATGCCTGAACCACATTTAAATGTGTATGTTAGGGTAACACAAAGGCATTTATCAGCTCTAGCAGAATGAAAACTGTAAAAGAATGTATTAAAGTTTTCCAATGATCTTAGAATGTGACAACTGAAACAATTTACGCAAAAAAAATGATTTCACTGACCTCGTTAGTTTTCAAGTAATCTGCCCTTGTATCTGAATTTTTACTTAAATATTATCCTAAGACAATATGCCATAAAGACTAGTTGGTTGTGATTGAGCATATTTATTTATTATAAAGCCATGGTTTTTATCCCAAAAAAGGAGAAATAGGATTATATTTTAATGTTTTGTCATGATTTTTTCAGATTTTTAGTGAAAGTTCTTGCACTGATATATTTGGCATTTCAAAACAGAGAATTTAGAGATGGAAACACAAAAATATCACATTGATCTTATTGTAAAGTTTGGAGGAAGTGCTATAACAGACAAGAGCAAACTGGAAACTCTTAATGAAGAATCACTAACCAGAGCTGTGGAACTGATAAGTCTTTGTTATAAACAGAACCTAACATGCATTGTTGTTCATGGGGCTGGGTATGTTTAGATATTGCTTTCTTTTTATTTACTTTTTTAATACTCTTCCATTTTAAGTGCTACTATTTGAAGAATAGGTAGAGCTTTTGTGCTCACCCCAGCAAATGTGTAGCCTTTACACTTTGGTTACATTTTTGCTTGCAAGTTGGTATCTCCAAAACTACTGTGTAATATTTAAAACTGAATGGACTGAAACTTCACACATTTATTATCTGTGATTATCTTAAATGACAGGCACATGTTCTATAACTCTGACTTGCCATTTTACAGAGTTATATTCCTTTACTATCTGTCAAGCACTGAGAATAGTTGATAGCATTACTGTCTTCTTAAATCATCTATTTTAACAAAATAAAATAATAACTTTGATTGAGAATAAAGCTCTCAAATCTAAAATTTAAATTATATAAACTTGTTTTGTTTTGGTACAATGAATCTTAAGATTAAAATTTGTAAACCTATGTTATACAATATGTTCAGCATTGTAATGCTGTGATATTATTGAAAGTACTCTTATTCTTGTAAGTTAAGTAAGTAAAACTTTCACTTAAATAAGCTGTGTAGGATTGATATATGAAAATGGACTCATATTTTCAGGTTACAAATAAAACACTTTCTTATTAATATTGGTGCTATCATTTACTGCTACATATAAAATGTATATGGTATATACATGTAGCTATTGCATTTTTGCAAGAATATTTATACACCTCACTTAATTGTAAAATAAATTTGAAAATATAATATGGCATATGCTCATTTGTATAATATTATACATTGTAGTTAGATTTAGGCAATCATGTCTGAAACATGTTTCACTATTATTGTAAGTATAGGTCATTTGGCCATCACCAAGCTAAAGAATTCAAGGTCAACTCTGGCTGGCATCATATAAAGGATGGGAATGATATAGAGCTTGTTAAGACAGGTTTTCTGTCTCACAAGGAATCTGTTACTATGGTATGTTAATTTATGTTAAATTATTTAAAAAATTGTTTATAGATTTTTATTGAATAATAGATGTATGTATGTTTTCTATAGACATGGCTGTTGTAAATTTATTCAAATAATTTCCACAAAGATACAAAGATAGGTAAATGCCCTGCTATGTAATTGCTGTATAAGTAGATATTCACATATGTCAAAAATTTAAAAATTCTAGACATTTCGTGTGAAGATATTAGCGATTCGTGCAAGGGTAGAATTTAATGAAAGGTTGGTTGATATTAACGCTAGAAATTGGCCAATATTTTGGTGTCTCTACTTAAGCACTTATACAGTTATTCCATTTGGTCAGAACATGAAAAGAGCTTGGGATTGATTTGTCTATCTGTCATCAAAATTAGCTACCTTTCAAACAGATTTTGTGATATTTGGATTTTGTTATATTTTGCATATTCAAGTACATAATGTAAATGTCATTAAAATTTATAGAAATAGCATTTATCTTTACAGTTAAATCACCATGTGGTCAATAGTTTGCTGAAACAAAATATTCCTGCTGTAGGCTTATCAGTAAGTGAAAGATATGATGATTGTTATCAAGTTAGTTATTTGCCAGCAAAGTGTTCCTGTCCCTCCAACCCAAGGGAATAGCCCAGGGACTTACTAGATTGTCGAGGCTTTCAGAAAATTTTGAGCCAGGTAGCTACATCCTGGAAATGGAATTTTTACCCTTAACCTGCTATATTTCTATAATGGACCTGCCATTCTAGACAGTCCATTCAAAATTCAAGGGATTTCAATATCAAAATACAAAAATTGAGCTGCCAACAGTATAGAACCTAGGGTCAGACTGCATGGACGTGCAGGCCGGCCAAAACTGGCTCTGTACTGGTTGGCAATGGCTGATAACTTTGGGGTCATGCAGGTAAAGGGGTTAATACATGTACTTCATTTTCTTGTATATGTTAAGCACTGAAATAAAATGCATGCTTTACATTTAATAGAAAACTCAGGAGTTACGAATCTGAAGTAGTTGAATATTGTGAATGTCATTATATCAACTGCATGTTTTTTGTTATGGTTTTGAGGCATATACATGGACTTTAGAAGTCTGTTTGTTTTGAATGCAGATTTTTAACACATTTGTTTAGTCATATCTTGGTGGTCTGCCCATCTACTGTCTCTCCTCGATAACTAGCCAGTGAGTATAGTTAACTTACTTTAATTCTCAGCATAATTTTGAATCAGTGTTGAGAAGCAAATGACTTATAGACTCACCGTCCGAGGTCTTGGAGGGAGAAATTACGCCTAGCACAAGTATCAAACCAGTAACCTTTTCATTACAAGTCCAATGCTCTCCCTATTGAGCTTAGTGGGCAGACATAAAACTTAGAAGCTGCAATGTTGTAACATTGATAAATGAGTTTGAATGCCTATGCATTAAAAGGTTTGTAATGGAAACTTTTACCTCAAGACACAAATTTTCTTCTTTGTTTTATATATTTACAGGTATGTGGAGGCTGGGTGACAGAAAATGGTGAAGTTGTGAAGCGTGATATAGAATCTGTAACTGATTTGATAAGGAACGGATTTATTCCAGTGTTACATGGTGACTGTGTATTAGACCGTGCCAAAGGTAGCAACATTCTTAGTGGCGATACTATAATTCAGGTATATTAGGAGTAAACCATATACTGTACATATAGATTTTATTCTCTTTCTCAAGTTAAAGGTATTTCATCTTAGTTTTGCAATATTTTCCAGTCTTTCAGGATTATTGATACCAATAATTTTAGTGTTGAGGACTTAATACCGTTTAAGTCTGTGCTGGGAGCTTAAGAGATTTTGCACATTCCATTAGCTCTCATGAACTGGGGTCAAAGATGTGGTGATAGCCTTGGTAGTTTTCACTCCGGATCACGGCAGTAAGCCTTTTTGAATCTTCCAGAGTACAGTTCAGCTACTGCATTGTTCCCGAGCAGAATGTCAAGCAGTTTACCAGTACTAGTTGTCTTCGCTTTTACAGGGAACTGATAACTTCTGTAAATGCTAGAGCAGATGTACTGTGCAAATGATGGTAGCAAGAATTTCAAGATTAATAGCATCAAATGTGACCTGCAGCGTACAGGAATTGGACCTGGGTTGTCCAATTCACAGTCGAACACTCTGCCTATCAAGCTAACCAAAAGGCGCTCTGTGTGAAAGATTTTCAACTTGAATTTTTTCAAACATGGACAAATGAAATGGGCCAAATCTGGATTTTCAGCTGGATTTTGAGGCACAAAACTGGATTTTTTTATCGACTCGAATTTCAATGCGTGTTTGGCACATTTGGTTCAAATAATCTATATTACCCTCAAAATCCTTAAATGATTATACTTTTTTATGGTTTTTTTGTTGATCAATATAATTTATTTCACAAAAAAAATAGATAAATAAATAAGTGTAGTCATACAGGCTATTTCTAAAACAGTCACACTTTCACATTTCATTATTTTCAGATTGAATAATTATATGTCTTTTCAGTCATTCAATAATTAAACACAAGCCATTTGAAAACGTGCAACAACTATTCATGAACATAAGACTATGACAGTTAAATAACGTAACATAAGTAGAAGACTCAAAATGAATGCAAGAATCGTTCCGTTAATTAAATCTCGATGATTGTGTAATTCCTAAACAAAACAAAAAAATACCCACTCACTGAAAATAGGTTAATTAGACATCTCAAACAGGTTTTGAATGATCCACTTTAAATGATTCTGCTGTCCTTTTATGCACAGGAACTTGAAATTCTATCACTATTAACGATAATATCCAATTATAGTATATAGGGGGTATATTTGGATATTATAATTAATATTGGTTATTTGATATAATTTCAAGTTCCTGTGTTTTATGTTTATCAGCGCGGCACTAATCAAAGAAAATCAAAGGTTGAGCCGAATTCATACATGTAAATTTACAGGGTAGTGTTGATGACGTAGCGTGTAATACCTACTGCCAAATTACAAAAGAGGTCAATTGACTGACACACGACACGTGATAAGTTAAACATGTGTGAATAACTTTGGGTATTGGAACTGTTTATTACGTCACCTTGCTGTCAATTAGCGACTCAACAATTTATCCGCTATAATTTAGGATATGGACAGATAACAATCAATGCCCGGAGGCACGGTTTACATTTTAGATACATGTGCCGTGTTTGATTTATTTTATGTTGATTTTTTTTTTAAATATCGGGAATTCAAGCTGTAATATCGGGAATCGGGATCAGTGTTGAAATATCGGGATTTTTTAAATTCCCGCCGGGATGTCACATGTATGTTTTTAGCTCACCTTGCAGGTGAGCTTTTAGGATGGCCAACCAAATGGCGTCCGTCGTCTGTCGTCCGTCCACATTTTAAATATTCTAAGGACATCTTCTATGATACCGCAAGGCCAATGTTAATGAAACTTGGCAGGAATACTCTTTGTATGAAGCTCTATCAAGATTGTTCAAAGAATTCCATTTCATGCAGAACTCTGGTTGCCATGGCAACCGAAAGAAAAATCTTTAAATATCTTCTTTTAAAGAACCGTAAGAGCTAGAGCTTAGATATTTGGCATGAAACATCTTCTAATGAGTGTCTACCAAGTTTGTTCAAATAAAAGCCCTAGGGTCAAAATTGGCCCCGCCCCAGGGGGTCATTGATTTTCCCTGTATGCATATAGTAAAAACTTAAAAAATCTTCTTTTAAAGAACCCAAAGAGCTAGAGCTAAGATATTTGGCATGAAACATCTTCTAGTGAGTGTCTACCAAGTTTGTTCAAATAAAAGCCCTGGGGTCAAAATTGGCCCCGCCCCAGGGGGTCATTGATTTTCCCTATATGCATATAGTAAAAACTTAAAAAATCTTCTTTTAAAGAACCCAAAGAGCTAGAGCTAAGATATTTGGCATGAAACATCTTCTAGTGAATGTCTACCAAGTTTGTTCAAATAAAAGCCCTGGGGTCAAAATTGGCCCCGCCCCAGGGGGTCATTGATTTTCCCTATATGCATATAGTAAAAACTTAAAAAATCTTCTTTTAAAGAACCCAAAGAGCTAGAGCTAAGATATTTAGCATGAAACATCTTCTAATGAGTGTCTACCAAGTTTGTTCAAATAAAAGCCCTGAAGTCAAAATTGGCCCTGCCCCAGGGGGTCATAGATTTTCCCTATATGCATATAGTAAAAACTTAAAAAATCTTCTTTTAAAGAACCCAAAGAGGTAGAGCTAAGATATTTGACATGAAATATCTTCTAGTGAGTGTCTACCAAGTTTGTTCAAATAAAAGCCCTGGGGTCAAAATTGGCCCCGCCCCGGGGGGTCATTGATTTTCCCTATATGCATATAGTAAAAACTTAAAAAATCTTCTTTTAAAGAACATAAGAGCTAGAGCTTAGATATTTGGCATGAAACATCTTCTAGTGAGTGTCTACCAAGTTTGTTCAAATAAAAGCCCTGGGGTCAAAATTGGCCCCGTCCCAGGGGGTCATAGATTTTCCCTATATGCATATAGTAAAAACTTAAAAAATCTTCTTTTAAAGAACCCAAAGAGCTAGAGCTAAGATATTTAGCATGAAATATCTTCTAATGAGTGTCTACCAAGTTTGTTCAAATAAAAGCCCTGGAATCAAAATTGGCCCCGCCCCAGGGGGTCATTGATTTTCCCTATATGCATATAGTAAAAACTTAAAAAATCTTCTTTTAAAGAACTCAAAGAGCTAGAGCTAAGATATTTAGCATGAAACATGTTCTAATGGGTGTCTACCAAGTATGTTCAAATAAAAGCCCTGGGGTCAAAACTGGCCCCGCCCGGGGGGGGGGTCATTGATTTTCCTTATATGTGTATAGCAAAAACTTAAAAATCTTCTTTGAAAAAACCCAAATAGCTTGAGTTTAGATATTATACATGAAACATCTTTAAGTAAATATCTACAAAGTTTGTTCAAATAAAAGCCCGGGGGTCAAAACTGGCCCTGCCCCAGGGGTGTCATTGTTTTTAACTATATGTGTATAGTAAAAACTTAAAAAATCTTCTTTTAAAAAACCCAATGAGCTAGAACTTAGATGTTTAGCATGAAACATCTTCTTATGGGTGTCTACCAAGTCTGTTCAAATAAAAGCCCTTGGGTAAAAATTGGCCCGGGGGGGCTATATACAGGTGAGCGACCTCAGGGCCATCATGGCCCTCTTGTTTATACTCATTGCTTGTGGAGGATCTGCTATAAATTTTTACAATTAAACTTTACAAGAAGTATGCAGTATGCCCATATTACAATATATTGAGAGTGTTTGATACATACTAATCCTTACATATTTCGTAATAAATTGCTTCTATATGCTGATGACTCAGGTATTTTAGTATCAGGTAAAGATATCCAGTATATTACCTCTCAGCTTACTGATGATCTCAACAGTGTGAGTAAGTGGCTCACTGATAATAAACTTTCCTTACATCTTGGAAAGACAGAGTCTATTTTATTTGCGTCTAAACCAAGACTTAGGTCATGTGATCAACTAAATATTGTATGTAATGGTACTACAATAACATCCACCAAATCTGTTAAATACTTAGGTGCTGACCTAGATCAATGTCTATCTGGTGAGTCTATAGCCAACCAGGTAATTAAGAAGGCCAATGCAAAACTTAAGTTTTTATATAGAAAAAGTTCATTTTTTAAATAGGTATACTAAACAACTTTTAGTTTCTTCATTAATACAATGTCATTTTGATTATGCGTGTGCCTCCTGGTATTTAGGGTTGAGTCAAAATCTAAAAAATAGACTTCAGGCCACACAGAATAAGTTGGTGAGATTTATACTTAATCTCAGTCCCCGTACTCATATAGGGAGGGCTCATTTTGAGGAAGTTGGTTGGTTACCAGTACATCTGAGGGTAAATTTTCCTTATTCTTGGTCATGTACATAAGATACATAACAATAGTGCACCTAGTTATTTAAATGAGCATTTTCAAATTGCAAATGAGGTACATTCTTACTCCACTCGATTTAGAGATAGTAACAGTTATTCTATTCCAAGAGTTAAGGGTTTCGGTAAGAAAACATTTGTATTTAATGGTTTTCAGGAATGGAACAGGTTACCAACACATCTTAGGTTCATAGCAAGTCGTGATAATTTTAAAAAATCTCTTAAGGAACATTTTATGCAATCAATATCTGTTTAGTCATTTTAATCTAGTCATCTTACCTAGTTTTTATTTATATATTTTTTATGTTTAGTGCATATTTTAGTAGTACCTATTCATTGTCAAACATATCTGTCATAATAATTATAATTATAATACATGTGTGATAAATTTTGTGATGGAAATACTTATGTGCAATAATTGATATAAGAAATTGTGATTGAATAATTTATGTGCAATACTTAAAAATTAGTAAATATTTTGCCTTTCTGGTGTCATATGATCAATTCTAAGGACCACAATGGAAATAAGTCGGCTTATGCCTTCTTTTTGTGTCATCCTTGGTATTGAATATATGGCATCAACACATGCACTTTCATGTTTACATGTATCTCTTGATGTTGATATTGAATTTGTAGTTGTTTTATGACATGTATTTTTTACCAGAATAAAACTATCTATATACATAATGAAAATCACCTGGCTCGAATTTGAAACTGCCCATTGAAAGTTTGAGGAATTTCAATAAGTTAAATGTCAGAATCATAAATAAGATAAAGCAGTCTTAAGTATTAAGTCTGGTTGTTTACTGATGAGTTGTTTTTGTTGGTAGAAATCTTTTATGTTCAATTGTGCTATGTAGTAAATATGCAGAATTGTATATTTATTAACAATAGGTAAGTGTAGTTCTCAACATTCTATATTTTATGTTTTTACAGACATTTTCAGAAGTGTTCATTGTCAACAGAGTAGTTTTCTTGACCAGTGTTAAAGGTGTTTATGATTGTCCACCAGCAGATCATTCTGGTATGCTTTTTCCTTATCTAACTTTTACAAGAGTTGCCCGTCTTTAATAAGTAAATGCTTTTCAATTCTAATAAAAAAATTTCATCATTTATAAAGTGTGTTTTTCCAAAGCCAAGATACTAAAAAACAAATGTTGCTATTTCTTAATGAAATAATCGGTTGCAATTTTTTTCTGTATATGTTTCTCACCATTATTTTAGAAAGCTTGGAAATTGATATTGCCATTTTATACATGTTGCATCATTGTGGTCATTTATTTGAAAGCCAGGCTTAGAAAATATAAACTGCAATATGTCAGGAATAAATCAAGAATCATGGAAGAAGACTTAATTGCAGGTGCTTCATCATACAATCAGTAACATAATATAAGTTAAAACTTAGTGGTCCAGAGCCTTAAGTTGTCTGGCTGGTATTCTCTATAAATCCTTTACAAATTTATATCATTTTTCCTCAGTAACTATTAAATCAACCTAAGACTACAAAGTTAGAACTACATTTATGCAAAACAATCATTAAGGTTAATATGAACACTTAAACCATGCTGTAAAATGGTCATTGACATAGATATGATCTGTGGTTATCTATTTTATATGGAAAAATAACTTGGCACTTTGCCCAGAAAAACTTGGCACTTAGCCCAGATAAACTCATTTATATGTCTATTTATAGTAACATACGTCACATTCTGTAGCCGCATTTTTAGTACTTCAGTAATCATTTTTCTTTGAAATATATCCTGATGAAGGTCTAGAAAGACCGAAACCGGTAGATCCTAGAATAAACCAGTTATAAACCATCCTGATGTTTGATGTGTATTCTCTCCTTCCCTTGATTTAGTTGTTTATTTAAATTTATATCAATTATACCCCTCTGGTCACACAAAATCCAAGTAGCTAATGCACTTGGAGTCAAAAATAGCCATGTACTAGGGGTCACTTCAGTGACATAGATTTATGTGGAGAAAATGACATCATACTAGTATAAAAGATTTTTTGGCAGAAGTTTATAGATTGAAATGGTACAGTAATGCTGTACCAGTGTACAATACTTGCTAATCATGGACATAGAATCAAATTTGTCAGACCATTGGGAACTTTGTACTCACTTAATAATAAAGTATACTTAATTATTATCTCTTATAATACTGATTATATTGCTAACGCACGCCTACTAAACGGTGGCTCTTTCACATTTTGGTGATCTGTTTAAATGAGAGCCATCGACACTTCCGTTGCAGAGCCCTCGATGAAAACAAGTCTGAAAGAGGTACGTAATTTTAGTAAAAATATCAATTTAAAAAAGATCATGCTTGTTTTTCAAAAATCGAAGAATGTCATGCCACGTAGAACATTTTTCTCATCATGTTGGGTGCAGTTTCGATAAGAAATACCCTGAAATGACGTTGCTAGAACTTTTGCCAAATAAAACCTTGTGGGTTTTCTTTTATGAGGAGACACATTTTGAGTGATTTCCCTACCGTAAAGTAGATGCTGGCCCACTTAATCGTGCATATAGCATTGCCCAAACCTCCTCCTTGGACCAACACAAAAAATAACTTACAGAATTTAGTTGAAAACCAAATAATCACATTTTTATTATTGTGATCGAGCCATCGACAAGGTGCTGGCGCCATCGGCAATGTGAATGAGCCCTCGAAAATGTGATGGAGCCATCAATATCATTCATTTTGTGATACTATGATGGAGTGTAACCGTTATTATTCGTAACTATATATATTTGTCATATACAATTTTATATGCATCGTATCACTGGGATGACATATTGAAATAAAATACTTACGCGATTTGATTATTTGAATTCATTAAAATTGAAGTAAAACCTCTTTTATAAGATATTAACAGATTAGGCACACACAAATAGTTTTTTACTTTAAGTAGGTAAAGTTTCAGTTTTTCATTTTGAAATTGATGTAAATTTAAGGTGGAATCTCGATATGAATAAGGGGATACAAAAACGATTTTCATGTGATTTGTGTGGAAAGACGTACGCCAATAAGGCCAGTGTTAAATAACATATAAAAAACTATCATGAGCAGGCGGCGACCAGTACATAATGTGGTATGTGTGTTGCACGATACGCAACACCATCTTCTCTTAAAAGGCGCGTTGTCAATAAGCTGAATTGTGGGAAGTGTTTAGAAAATTTTTGCTTATGAACGCAACTTAAAACGACACCTCCAAAGATGCGGAAAAAGTATAAAGAAGAGTCACACATGCAAGTATTGTACCAAACAGTTGTGTAGTCCAGAGGCATTTTTTCCGTATGTGGCCCGTCCTGTCTCTCTTTGTGTAGAATGAACAATTGCATTCTTCAATCGTGCACACTAGTTCCTTTTTCCGTGTATGTACACGTTCAACGTGCCTTTTAAGAGAAGATGGTGTTGCGTATCGCCCATCACATAAACCACATAATGTACTGGTCGCCGCCTGCTCGTGATGGTTTTTTTTAATGAAATTTAACCCTGGCCTTATTGGCGTACGTCTTTCGAAAAAAATTTTGTATCCCCTTATTCATATCGATATTCCACCTGAGATTTACATAAATTTCAAAATGAAAAACTAAAACTTTATGGACTAAAAGTAAAAAACTATTTGTGTGTGCCTTATCTGTTAATATTTTATACAAAAAGGTTTTACTTCAATTTAAATGAATTCGAATAATCAAATCGCGTATTTTATTTCAATATGTCATCCCAGTGATACGATGCATATAAAATTGTATACATTGTATGTTAATTAGTTAAGAATAATAAAGGTTACACTACATAATAGTATGTTATCACAAAATGAATGATATTGTTGGCTCCATCACATTTTCGAGGGCTCATTCACATTGCCGATAGCGCCAGCACCTTGTCGATGGCTTGATCACAAAAATAAAAAATGTGATTATTTGGTTTTCAACTAAGTTCTGTAAGTTATTTTTTGTGTTGGTCCAAGGAGGAGGTTGGGACAATGCTATATGCACGATTAAGTGGGCCAGCATCTACTTTACGGTAGGGAAATCACTCAAAATGTGTCTCCTCGTTAAAGAAATCCCACAAGGTTATATTTGGTAAAAGTTCTAGCAACGTCATTTCAGGGTATTTCTAATCGAAACTGCACTCAACATGATGAGAAAAATGTTCTACGTGGCATGACATTCTTCGATTTTTGGAAGGAAATTTTTTCAAAAAAAAATTTCCTTTCTATAGTAACGGTCTGTCCATATTAAAAAGAACGAACAACACCTAATTGACTTCTGTTTAAGCTCAATAGAAAACAAGTAGTTAATGCGACCAAGAAAGTAGTGCAGCAGAACTATATGTATACTTTCAAACGTGGATGACTTGAAGAAAAAGGTGATGTTAAAAAAACTTGAAATGATGATATTCAATGTTAGCTTACATC